TTCCGGCCATATCTCTGGAACCAGTTGACCGATTCTAAAAAAAAATTCGATAGCTTTCAATGGGACCACAATACCTATAGTTTGACGTTAAAAAATTTTCAAATCGGGTCAATAATTTCCGATAAAATGAGCCATGATGAATAGCTAATGCGTGGAAAGTAAACTTTTTTAAAAACGAAGATAAACTCAAATTTATTGATTTTTTTAAATAGCAAATTCATAAAAGCTGTATAAAAGGGTTTTTTTCGTGATACCAATAAGCTCTAAACAAAGTTTTTGAACAAATATGGGCTATACTAGCATTTGCAAAAATAGGTCCAACCTTAATCATTTTTTAGGTCCAACCAAGATCAGCATAGGTCCAACCAACATCATAATTCTTTACTGAATAAAAACGTTTTATAAAATCATTTGTTCATAATATTTACCTTTTTATGTTATTATTAGAAACAAGAAAGGTAGAGCTTTCCTCTAATCACGCATTTTTCATAATTATATGTTGAATTAATAAAAAAAATGCGACATGAATGTGGACGTCGTGTGAAACCGGCCTAAATAGGTCCAACCATCATCAGTTACCCTAATCACTATTGAATCTACACTTCGACACGAGATGCAAGAGTTAAAGCACGACGCCATTAAATCTGTTGACACTTTGTATAGCTGAATAACTGTTCTGAACGAGAATCGTTGAGTGGAGCGTTGCAGGAAGACGCGCTAAAACGAATGACAGCTGACCCAGTGGTTAAATTATGGTAAGAAAGGAACGAGTGAAGGAGCGCGCTCTAGCGGCGAATGTAAAGGTTCACACAGAGATGCCAGATTTTTTTTTCAGAAGTCTGCTAAAAATGTGGGGGGTGTGGGGTTGGTTTGTGAAATAGATGCGAAATTTGAAATGTCAGCAAAAGTCATGTTCGAGCAAAAAAACCTTCTTTTAACGAATTGAATCTATTTGGAGTTGAGCATCGTTAAAAGCAATTAATAAAAAGATAAATTACGATTTCAAGACAAATGAGGCCAACTCTAAGTTGAGATTAGTTCACTCATATTCTTCAAAACGTAAACTCATAAACTGAGTAAAACTTTTCGAGCTGTGCTTTCTAATATGAGAAACATCTCATTGTAAATATGAAATTAGTTTTCCTCTAGAATGAGTAAATTTTTCGTCAATTTTTCTCATATTCGAAAAGATTTATAAAGGCTCAAAAATTTTTACTCAGTTTACAAGTAAACTACGTTTTCTAGAGTTCGGGATTTCCATTGTGGCGTGCTTCTATTGTGACATATCCATACGTAATTTTGTGGGACGACATAGTGGAAACGTGTGAGCGTAGTTGGGGCATGTAATGTAATTTAAAAATCAGCTAGGAAACTAACTTCAAAGTGAAGCATTTTAGTCACTTGAAGGTGTCACCTGGGTCGAACTAAGATATAATAAATATAGGTCAAAGTCAAACTTACTTGAAACACGTTAAATTTTAGATTACATGCACAAGTCCAGGTACTTAATAAAGCATGAGTTATGATTGATTAGGTGAATTAGAGATTTCAATTATTTATTAAATTAGTCTCTCATTAGTCATTATCATCAAAAGAACTTAAATAAGAAAATTTAGACAACCTAATAACATTTAGTAGATTAGCAAAAAAGTTAGGATGCGGGGGGTCCGCGTAGGGAGGCAACTAGCCTTTAAAGCAACTGGCAACTAGCCTTTTCATATATTATCTGTTTATTTTGATGGTTGCTTTAAAATATCAATTTGGTATATATGTGAAAGGATGAATCAGTGGGAGATGGATTTTCGGTTTCTTTACATTTTGCATCACAAATCTAGTACTATGTGTCATTTCCTCAAAACCCCCCAATAACCGACCTCTTCAATCCCTTTCTTATCCCATGGCGTTCAAGTGGTCCGCATAGACTATTCAGCCATTACCCTTCCTTTATCCTTTGGCTTTGGATTGACTTGCGCTCCCATTGCCCCACCAAACGCTGCAAGTTTGAACTCACTTCAAAAAAGTTCAGACTCAGTTTTGAATCTGCTTTGAAAAGTGTCACCTCAATTAGGAATTTCCTGAATCGTTTCTGATTTGGTCTCAATTTTAAACCAATTTTTAAAGGATTGGATTAAGCTCGGAAATTGTTGAATCACGTAGAAAATAAATTGTAGCATTGCAGAAGGTTTGTAGGTTAAGAAATTTAGATCGAATGCGAAAATCGGACGACTACGGTGGGCTGGGCACATCGTAACAATGTCGGATTACGACCCAAAGAAAATGGTTCTTGGTAGCGACCCGACTGGAACGCGACAGATGTGCGCAGCGAACAAGGGGGATCGGTCAGATTGAAGGTGGCTTACTTAGTGAGTTGCCTAACAAGATTAGGAATGATGTTCGATGAAATCTGTTTCATCCAGCTGATTGGATTTCAATGACCTTGCATGCCGTACCGTTCTAGTACCAATTTATGTAAATAATCTGTAAAAGAACAAGGTGATATTCTACAACACAATAAAATCTAGTAAAGCGAGTATCCATACCGAAATCAATTAGCGATATTCGAGAAAAAAGGAACGGTCGTGTTCTTTTTATTGTATGATCCGTTCCCCGGTTCATGAGTTGATGGGTCGATATGTACCCGAGCAAAGGATTATACCAAATTGATAACAAGTTCTGATACCCGGTGATCACGATTTGATAACTGAACATGTTATTGCTGTGGTTGAATAAACAGCCAACATAACAACAATTATAACAAAAGAATACTTCTGGGGTATCACCAAAATAACTGAATTAGTTATCATTGAAAACTTCCTGATAACAAATCCAGTGATTCATGCCAATTTCTTTATTGAAATTCCAAATTATTTTATTGATTTGGTATTGTAGCCTTACGCTGATAACTGAAATATGATTGGCAGTGTTTTATTTTCTCACCGTGGATAATATTTTAAGTTTTGTACTAACCTTGCATCATTTCATATTCTTTCATAATACCAACTGATAACAAAATTAGTCGAGGTTGATAACTATATTAGTTATGCGATAACATCTGAAAACCAAATGATATCTGGAATAACAAGACTTGTTTTCAAGATGATGTCAGGTTATTTTACTTTACTTGTTACTTGTGAGCGTACTTCGCTTCGCGTGTAAATGGCCTTAAAAAAGTTTGTTTACAAAAGCTTTTGTGCCGTTATCAAATGTTATGCCTGAAATAAAGTGCAGGAACTCAGCGATGAGTAAATTTGCCTCATATTTTTCAAGGTTTGTCCAGGAAAAACTTCCCGAATATGAGAAAAGTAAAAATTGGATTCACTCAGTCTATTGGTACTACTCCTAGACTGAGAATTTTTTTTTCGTCAGATTTTTTAGGTTTTTTTTCCACAGATAAACAAGAGACAAATTTACTCATCGCTGAGTTCCTGCACTTTTGGCAATTATGAGTAACTAAACTTAAAATTGGGTTGTTCTCATAAGTCGTAAACAAACAGTTTTTCGTGGCGAATGTAAAAGAATTTCTGTTAAATTTCACCGAAATCTCAACAGCTGAACATTCGGTGAAATCTGTGAAATAATCTCAGTGTGTTGAATGTTAATAAAACACTAAAAGTTAATTATTGGGACCCATTTCGTGAAATACTTGTCTGAGTGCGAGAAACACTTTGACATTCTTGGGTCCATTTTGAAGATTAATGAGAAAGAGTTGGAATTACGGTTCTGTGAAATTATTGAAAGACAAAAGTCTGATGCGCGGAGTGGCTGACAAAATCGAGTCATTACTGTATTTTTTCTGGAAGGGGAAGTGCGGTTTGGAATTTTTGGAAAAGGGTGCTTGGAACGGAAAAGGTTGAAAACCACTGCGTTTGTTTAGTTAGACAATCAATTGTGCTGAAATCAGTAGCATTTTCAGATCGATATCACTGTATCAGTTGCATGTTCTCCAGACTCATTTTATTTACTAAATTTCCAATAGTTTCAGTTCGTTTGTTATTGTTTTTGTTTTCGTTTCGGTCGTTATCTGGCCAGCTAGGAGGCATCAACAATAATAATAACTTGTTTCCTATGCTAAATTTGATCTTCTCTGACCCTTGCTTATAGCGTCGCTCGGTGATTATGAATACCATTAATTGTGATGATATCATCTTCTTCGTAGAAGAATCTAACATCGAGCATAAACAAGTAGGGTAAGGTGGCGCAAAATAGGTCAGCTAGTGCATTTATTAATTTATTTGTTTATCAATACCAACAGTTTCAATGCAAACCCAATGATGGTTTACTTTTTGAAACCAGCATTGTGTCTACATTGTCCTGTTGATGTTTAAAAACAAAAAGATAAATAAATCAAGTAGATGACCCATCTTGCCCCACCTTACCGTATGTAAATTATTTTCGCGCCCTTGAAAATCCGTTATCAAACTTTGAGGAAGTAACACTCGTATAGGTTCTCTTCTCTTGCTTGTACTACATCACTTATCACTTACATCACTTATTGCGAATAACATTACATTCTAATTGGTTGAGCTCGTTATCATCTGGCTATAAACAGCCACCAAACGACCCGGAATCGCGCGACTCCCATCCCATAAATCTGCACGTGCAGCAAGACTCTCTCGATACAGCCTGGTATAGGAAGGAACATTCCAATTTTCCCAACATGGAATGTGTATCACGCTGCCGTCGTCGGCGCTGCTTACTACAGGCCATCCATCAGGCAGCGCGTTGAACCTCGCTTACATACATTCACGCTTCCCTGACGTAGTGAAGATCCATAGATAGCGCCTTCCCTTCTGGGGCGAGGAAGTGTCTTACGTAATCTCGTTCCGCGTTTATTTATGGACTTGGATGGAACGCAGCTCGAAAACACCTCACTGGGTGTGAAAAATAAATCCGAGTCTGAATGCAATGATTCACCAGCAGCGCGAAAAAACATAAACAACCACGCGCAGAACTTCGGAAAATCGATAGTAATTACTCTCCTCTGTTTTCTCTTGCGACAGGTAAAACCAAGATCCAGTGCAGCAAATGCCAGAAAAAATGCTCCGGCGAGGTGTTGCGTGTTTCGGACCGATATTTCCACAAAACGTGCTTCCAGTGCACCAAATGCAACAAATCGTTGGCGACGGGCGGCTTCTTCTCGAAGGATGGCGCCTACTACTGCACCCTGGACTACCAGAAGCTGTACGGTACCAAGTGTGCCGCCTGCAACCAGTACGTGGAGGGTGAGGTCGTGTCCACCATGGGCAACACATATCATCAGAAGTGCTTCACCTGTAGCAAGTGCAAACAGGCGTTCCAGTCGGGCAGCAAGGTAGGTGTTCTTGTCGTCACCCCTCCCCAAATTGGGTTGATACTTAACGATTGTATTTCTCAAAACAAACGATTTATCACAAGGTTACCAACACTGGCAAGGAAGTTCTCTGCGAGAGCTGTGTCAAGGGTCCAGTGGCGACCGCTCCACAGACAACGCCCTCTGCAGCAGCGTCACCAAAGCGACAGATCGAGCAGGTGCAGGAACAGAAGACGATCAAAGAAATTACCTCCAGCCCGACCAAGGCAGCTACCCTTCAGCACCACCAGGAAGCAATCCGAAAGCAGCAGAATAGCAAAGACATCGATCCGAACGAATGCGCCGGCTGCCACCAACAGCTGAAGGAAGGTCAAGCGCTGATCGCGCTCGATCGGCAGTGGCACATCTGGTGCTTCAAGTGAGTAACCTGATGCAAGTCGAAAAGTTCGGTGATCTCATGTAAAAATTCCACTCATCTCCAGATGCAACGCGTGCGGTGTCACACTGAACGGCGAGTACATGGGCAAGGATGGTGTTCCGTACTGTGAGAAGGACTTCCAGAAATCGTTTGGGGTCAAGTGTGCCTACTGTAACCGGTACATTAGCGGTAAGGTGCTGCAGGCTGGTGACAATCATCACTTCCACCCGACGTGCGCCCGGTGTACCAAGTGCGGCGATCCGTTCGGAGATGGCGAAGAAATGTACCTGCAGGGTGGTGCAATATGGCACCCGCGATGTGGCCCCGGGCCGTCGTCCGAGTCCGGCATACTGAACGGGGTCGAAACCAACGGGTTCACCACGGAAACCGAGTTCGACCGAACCAGTACAAGTGCAATGAGTGAAATTCAGGTACGGGAGTGGGCTCGGGGTTGGACCGGCTTAGAGAGACAATAGAGAGAAGCATTCACTTTCGCTAGTTTTGTTTAATTCGATGCTTCTTATTTACATAATTTTTTTTTGTAACGTTTTCATTTATTAATTATTTAGTTTTGGGACTGCATTTGATCGATTCGGTTTCGATTAACGTCAAATATTAGGCGCAACCACTTGATGGGTCAACTGCAGTCCGTTTACTTTTATCCCACCGTTATATTGTTAAGTTTATTTTAGTTTTATGACGCAGCATGAAAAAGTAATTTGTGCACTTTGGGTTTGTTTCTAACTTATTTTTTCAGTTTTCGTTACCTTCACAAACACCAAGTTTGAGTGGTTCTGTTTATAGTCCTTACACGCATAGAAAGGTTAGTTTTGTTCCTTGTTTTCATTTTCCGTTTCACAGTTGCTTTACCACTATCTTTACCATACCTACACACTCCCTCCTCCCCGGTTATGTCTAATCGATTTGTTTAAGTTGACTGCTCTACAACACTTATCTTTCACTTATCATTCCATTGGGTTTAGAAATATTACGTTGGTAGCAAATTCTGGAATCAGTTTTGATAATAGCAAATTGCACAAGTTTAATGATGATTGACTAGTAACTAGATGATAGTAACTTTAAACATACAGGTCGGACTCGGTTATCGGCAACTGCTTTTGTTACTTCCATCGCCGATTTCTAGCAAACGACCATTCAATAACGCAAAGTAACATCACCATCGGACAGAGAAAACAATCCCCCATCTGTTCAGTAATGTTGATTTGTATCATTGAGTTGTTGTTGCCAGTTACCGATAATCGAGTCCGACTCAGGCACGTAGCCACAGGACTGAAGCGCCCCTCCCCCCGAAATTATTGTCATCATGTGAAAAAATCTGACCCAAGATAATGGATATCTGTTACCTGGGTAAGGTTTTTTATTTTTCACATTATACAGGGTGTCTACTACCTGAAAAAAAACCAGGAAAACCGGGAATTTACAGGGAATTTTATTTTTTCTGGAAAAACCTGGAATATTCAGGGAATTTTGGTTCCACTCAGGGAATTTTCCAATTATCACTTCATTCGTAATTCAAAAGAAGTTTTTCGTTCAGTTTCTCGAAACGTTTCTTAAGGACACTGAACTTGACAAGCATCTGACAGCTAAGACAACGTGTGCGAACGAGACAAGTTCATTCAGAGATTCTTGTCACGCTCGCTCTTCGCTGATTTGTATGTGGAGGATCAAAATCGTCGTAAAAAGGAAACAGCCGAAAAAGAGAGACTGGCAACCGTCAAAAGGAAGCATACGAAGCATGTATTGTATAAGAATAAGCATGCCAGACAGCAGGTCTGAGAACCTACATAGAATTTGTTTTTGAGCCTCAGAGAGGGTCGGAGATCTACTGAGAAATTTGTTGAGCTTCAGGGTAGTTCGTAGATCTTGAGAACAGAACTACAAACAAATTAAAAGTTATTAACAGAAATTCATAAAAACAAAATCACAAGAGAGGTCGTAGATCTTCAGATAAATGTTCAAAGAAATTTTCAAAACTTCAAGCAAGCAAAAATAATTTCAAATCAATTTGTAAAACTATAAGCGAAATTTTACAAATCTTCAGGGAAATTCACATAACTTCAGACAAGTCCAAGAATCTACAGTGAAATATAAAGTATTTCACAGAAGTTTGGAGATCCTCGAAACATTATTCAACATCACAAAAGTTCGTAGATCTTCAGAACAAAGCTACAGAACTTTGAAAAAAATCACAGGACTTCTGAAAAAATCACAAGAATCTCAGAAATGTTAATGGATCTTCAGTAAAAATTGCAGAACTTCAGGGATTAAAAAAAATATTTACACGATTTCAGGAAAATTTGTAGATCTTGAGAGAGACATTTAAAACTTCAAGGAAGCTCAAATATTTTCTGATAAATTTTGACAACTTAAGGTAAGGAAATTTTCAAATCTTCAGGGTAACCCTAGAGGAATTTACAAAACATCAGAGAAGTTTGCAGATCTACTGAGAAATTAATGGAGCCTCAAGTTTTTTTTGTAGATCTTGGGAATAGAGCTACGGAGCTTAGGACAACTTTACAGAACTTTGAAGATATTTGCAGGAATTTGACGGAAAGTTTCACAGTTTCACACAAATGTGAGATCTTCATAAAAATTCGTTAAATGTCAGAAAAGCACCTCAATTCCAAAAACAAATCGCAGCGAAGTACAAAAGTACAATATTTTGCAGAACTCCATGGAAATCGGAAATAGATAAATCTAAAGAACTTCAGAGAAGTCCGTAGACCTTAAGAGAAGTCTGTAGAACGTCAGAAAATTCGTACGTTTTTAGAAAAATTTGCAAAACTTCAGCAAAACTCGCAGATCTTCGGGAAAGTTCGCCGATCTAGACTCCACAAATAAATTTAAATAACTTTAGAAAAGTTCGTAGATCTACTGTGAAATTTATTGAACTTCAGGGCAGTTCGTAGATCTTAAGAGCAGAAATACAGTACTTCAGAAAACTTTACAGAATTTGAAATAAATTTTAGGAACTTTAGAAAAGTTCAGAGAGTAGGTCGTAAATCTACTCAAAAATTAGCAGATGTTTAAATAAATTTTCAGAATTTTACTGCGGTTCTTGGATTTTGAAAGACATTCACAGAACTTCAGGTAAGTTCGCTGATCTTTAGAGATATTTGCACAGCTTCAGAAAAATTAGAAAAACTTCAGAATACTTCCTAAAACTTCCGGAAAGTTCAAAAATTTCTAGATAATCATTTAATTCTTTAGAAAATTGTATAGATGTTCAGAGATATTTGCAGAGAAAATTACAATCTGCAGAGAAAATTACAGAACTTTCGAGAAGTTTGTAGTTGTTCCAATAAATGTTGTGAACATCAGAGATAATTGTTGATCTTCAAGGATCTTAAATCTTCAGGGATTCAGGAACTTTGTAGGTTTTTAGGAAAAATTGCTGAACTTCTGAAGAACACACAGAACTTCAAAGAAATCTGTAGAACTACCGAGACATTTGCAGATTGTCAGGAAAGATTGTTGATTTTTAAGGAAATTTTACCGGAGAACAGAAACAAAACTTCAGGGACGTCAGAAGGTTTGAAGACCTTGCAGAATTGAGTTGTTAACAGAAATTTTCAGAACTCAAGGAATCATGTATATCTAGTGAGAACTTTTCCCACTAGCTTGTTTAAAGTTGGTATCGACATCCTGGCGAAGTTTTGAAATCCATTTTCATCTTCATATCGCAGCTCTTGATGGACAAGATGAGCCAAATCCCTGCCGGTGTTCCTCCTGAGCAACCATTTCCTACTCCACAAAGTTCACCTTCTCTTTCTCATTTTATTTAAAATAATAAAAGCAAATACGTCTGCCAAAACTAGAGCAATTTTCCGGTAATTCATGATGGAAGTATTTACTTTTGATTCCTGATACAGTTTTGTTTTGAAATCTAAATTGACAGTTCTTTCGACATGTGCAAGCAGTGTGAACACCAGCAAACAGGGGGGTTCGATAAAATAATAATGTGTATAATTTGTATGCACCTGGAATTTTTTTCATCCGACCTGGAAAAACCTGGAAAACTCAGAGAATTTGATTCCTTGGATTGAGTAGACACCCTGTTATAATAAAATAATTTATGAACGAGGCTTCAGCCCTATAGCCCCCCTGGCTATGGGACTCGGGCTGTACCTATATGTTGCGTATGAACAATTTATGTTTGCAGCAATTCTGTTAGAAATGAAATCATTGTTTACAAAAGCTGTAACGCCCTAATTCCAGCTCTATCTAGATTTGTTCTAAAGTCTCAAAATTCTAGGTATTTTGGTAGGACTGTGTACCAGGGAGGCAACTTCAAAATCATCTTCAGAACTTTGTTCTTAATCCTTTGAAGTGCTTTTTTTCCTGGTAGTGCAAGATCTAGACCATATTGGCACAGCATAAAGCAGGGCCGGTCTTAATATTTAAATATTAGAAGTTTATTCTTCAGGTAAAGTTTGTGGTGAGATTTTTAGCTATGTTTCAACCAGTCGGTCTGATTTTTTGCATGTTAGTAGGGTCCAGGCATGGAAAATCATTTGCATTCATTTCGTGGATTCATTTACATTCATTTGCCTCTAACTTTTTTCATCAACAGCAATCCGCAAAATGATGTATAGAGCTTTAGTAGATTTTGTTATAAGCTACAACTTTTGCCCATGACTCAAATCTGTATCTCTTATGCATCACGAATTAGAGCGGGCAGAACTTGTTACTGTTTTTCAGTGAATGACATTCACTGAAAAACAGTAGTGGCTTCTGTTCGCTCTGGTTCGTCATACATAAGAGATACGGATTTAAGTTGTTAAAAAAAGTTGTAGCTAATAACAAAACCTACAAAAGCTTCTTGAACCATTTTGCGGTATTCTGTTGATGAAAAAAGTTAGGGGCAAATGAATGTAAATGAATGTACGAAATGAATGCAAATGATTTTCCATGCGTGGTAGGGTCAATGGAGAACTAGTCACTCGCAGAAAATCAGAGCGCTTGGTTGAAAACCCACCGAGACAAAGCGGTGGGTGCAACTCAGTGGGTAACGCGTTCTTCGGGGGAAAGCGGTATATCCCGTGTCCTTAATTTAGTGCATGTCGTATTACTCCATCAATATTGAGAAATGATGAAGTATTCGGTTTTGATACAGTTGTCATTCTTGCCTTCATCGCAAGGAATCGATTCTAATTGAACGGTCCCGCTATTTATACCCTTCGGAGTGTTGGAACACCCTCCAAAGGCGCACTTTTTTGTCAATCAAAATTGGAATCCTTAGCAACAAAAACAAGCAATGGCACCGATAATGACCATGCATCAGAACTCTAGTCTTAACCACTTCAAACTAGGGAACAACGAACAGAAGCTTAGGATTCACATAGGTGAAGACTAGAGAGGGTCTAGTATAAGAGAGGAGCGGATTCAAAATAAACTGCCCTGGCAACCTATGCCTAGGTGATTTCTAGCAACACTGCCAATGCAATCAAGATAGGCGCTGCTCGATTGGCTCTGGGTTTAACTGTTCGTTTGGCTCACACCAGCCAGTCCGCTCCTCTCCCTGTCTAGTGAAGACTAACTAACTAGTTTTTTCCTTGTTTCAAGATCATCCTCGGTCCAGGAAACCCTAGGTTAAATTAGGTTATCTTTATTAGCGAGACTTTCAGCCAGAGGCTGGTTCATCTCTTCGCAATCCGAGGACTTATCACTATCAACAAGGCATACAAAGTAACAAGGACTAAGATGTGTTCCTTTCATATGTGTTGGATTTGAATAAACACGTAGATCCTTCTTCTTATCTAATCTAACACCAACACAGCCAGTTCATGAAAGCATCCCGGA